ATTTAAATAGCTAAAGAAAAACAGAAATAAGATGGAACAGAGTTTAGCCAGACCTCGTGCTACGCACGATGTCCTTAAAACGTATTTGTCGCCTCCCATGGTGCTAGGAGCGTTGCAACGACCGTTTTCGAGGATACGGTGGCTAACGAAGTAACGTTTGAGCACACAAATGAGAGTTCCAGCGAACGGGAATAAAGGAGAACACTCAGAAATTTTCGGAGTAGCTGGAAGTGTTTTAGAGCTCAAAAATACGTGAGGAATGTATTGTGTGTTGTTTGTTGCAAACCACCTGTCGGCTATTTGTAAGAGGATTTGTTGTGTGTTAAATGTAGTGTTAATGGACCTGAACGTTGGACATCAATGACCAGTCCGTTGGGCATTGAATCGTCCATAAACTGTCCATTTTACGCAGCATTAAAAGACAAGAACGTTGAGCATTTATTGGTGTAACGGACCAGAAGACCTCGAGTGTCTCTGTTGCGAACAGAAGACCTCGAGCGTCTCTGTTGCGATCAGAAGACCTCAAGCGTCTCTGTTGTGAACAGAAGACCTCGAGCGTCTCTGATGCGGAGCAGTTCTGTTGAGAACATAACCCTCTTCTGTTGCCCCTTGGTTGCCCAAAGTAGATGCTCCGCGTTGTGAACCATTGTTCACCGGAGCTCCACTTTCAGAGTGAGTGTCGTTTAGCACGTTCTTCCCAACAACATTATGAATTTCTTGAGAAGCCATTTTAACGTTTTCTTACGTTTTCCGAAAACACAAAAATAAGTTCGTTCACCAAAGTGACAAACTACGATTTAAGATTGTTTACCGGAGTAGAACAATCACCGAATACGTTTTAAGATTGTTGGGTGTGTCTCCGAAAAATAAAGAAATATTAATTAATAAAAATAATTAATTAATTTAAATAGCTAAAGAAAAACAGAAATAAGATGGAACAGAGTTTAGCCAGAGCTCGTGCTACGCATGATGTCCTTAAAACGTATTCGTCGCCTCCCACGGTGCTAGGAGCGTTGCAACGACCGTTTCCGAGGATACGGTGGCTAACGAAGTAACGTTTGAGCACACAAACGAGAGTTCCAGCGAACGGGAACAAAGGAGAACACTCAGAAATTTTCGGAGTAGCTGGAAGTGTTTTAGAGCTCAAAAATACGTGAGGAATGTATTGTGTGTTATTTATTGCAAACCACCTGCCGGCTATTTGTAGGAGGATTTGTTGTGTGTTAAATGTAGTGTTAATGGACCTGAACGTTAGACATCAATGACTAGTCTGTTGAGCATTGAATCATCCATAAACTGTCCATTTAATGCAGCATTAAAAGACAAGAACGTTGAACATTTATTGGTGTAACGGACCAGAAGACCTCGAGCGTCTCTGTTGCGAACAGAAGACCTCGAGCGTCTCTGATGCGGAGCAGTTCTGTTGAGAACATAACCCTCTTCTGGTCCGGACAGAAACAGAGCGATAGATTTTCGGACGACATTCGTGTCCGCATGTCGCCCGCACACACGAGTCACGGTTTTTCTTCTCTATTTCAGGATTTGATCAGCACACCCCCCCCCCCCCCCCCCCCTTGCGCGTAAGAGAGAGACTTTACCTTTAGGAATCTTAACTCCTTAAAAGAGGCTTACCTTTATAAGAGGGTGAAAATCTCTTGAGTTTTCCGGTGTGGTATAAAACACACTAGAAACCCATCATTTTCTCAGTTTTTCCATTTCAACGAGAGAACTTCGAGAATCAATTTCTCATTCACCCGTTATCCGTTTTGAGCGTACCATATATCGAATTGTAGCCCTTAACAAGTACAATCCGAAACCACTTTGACCCAAATCGGAAGTGGATCTCACTCAAATAATTGCCCCAAAATCACTATTTAATGCATTTTTTAACACATTTTTCCAACAACCCTTGCATCATATCATGATCATAGGGAAGTCCTATTACTCGTATATTATTATGAGAGTGGAGTTGTTTGATTACTAGATTGATCTTTGAAAGTGCAAATCTCTAGCTAGTCAACTACAACACCAGAGCAGATAGCATTTAGATGGCACTGTGTTTTTTATGCCCATCAGGAGATAGCAACTATCCACTTATCGATGCATTATTTCATCTGGACAATTTTTTTAACATGTTATAAGTGCATTTTTTCTAAAAAGGGGGTACTTCTCTTATTGTATTAGTATCTAGGTAAACTTAATTTAGGGAAAAGTACGGAAAAGATACTTGTGGTTGGGCCTAGCGGTCGTCTTATTGAGGCGTACCTTCCGGTATTTTTCTTTTAATTTTTCGGGCACTTTTGATAATCGGAGTTACTTTTAATTGTCTTTTTCAGACGTTTTTAACGGCGTGACTCTCTTGTGTTAACAGGATTCAAACACATGAACCACTTTGCTAAAGAATGAAACACATGACCCTATCTGAAAACGGGCTCAACCAGAAGTACATTTTCCGTACTTTTCCCCTTAATTTAATTTAGACAAAGACTTTAAAATCAACTGATTTTCCAAATAAAAAATTGACTTATTTGTTGAGTATCAGACCAATATTCTGTTGAGTATTAGGAGACCAATATCAAGACATTTTCATTGAACGTCAGTGTCCTCTATTGAACATTGGAACTCTGCAATTGAGTATAAAAATTTCTAAACCTATTGAGCATCAAAACAACTTCATTGAATATCCAACCATAATAGTGTTTATCTTAAAACATTATATCGATGCACATTTCGTGTAAATATTATACTCATTTGGGTATAACATAAAATTCATTTTTTGTATTCATTTTATAATGTTATACCAATACTCATTTATTTGAAAGTTATGCTCATATATGTATAACATAAAACTCATTTATACAACTCAAACATGTAATATATTCATTACAAATAACTTAGAATAAATCTTTCTTAACAATAAAGCTCAACCAATTTTAACACAACACACATTGTAAAATCGATGAATACTCGTTTTAAATGTAATGATTGAAAAGTATAACAATAATTGCTAAAAATATCACATAAGAATCATTAATAGTTGAATCTAATGTATAAAAACCAAACATAAAATCTAATAGAAAATTGTTTAAAGGTAAACCTTAGAAAATAAAAAAATCAAGAATTTCTTAATTCAAGTAGCTTGAAAGCTATTATGCAAAATAAATTATACATAGTCAATACTATATTCAAGTACAACAAAGTTTATTTAAAATTTTCTCAAGAAATGAACAAAAAGGTAACCCACTTCAGAATTTTTAGGAATAGTTGATGGGCTTTATTATTTAGAAGATAATTTTAATGGAACTATTATATTGTTACTAGTCAAATAGAGTGATAAAGATTTTCAATCAGATTATCATTACCTTTAATATTTTCATTATTCAAATGGAGTTTGTACTTGGATATTACTAATTTTGAACCAATTATCAAAAAGTGATCATTTTTAAAAAGGGACAAAAAAGTGATCAAGAAGGTCATATATGTGCAATTAGAAAACATGATGTAACTGCAAAAAAATTATGTCACTACGTGTTCGTTTTTTGTAACTACAACCACCACCCATGTCATTACAACCACCACCTGTGTCATTGTAACCACCGCCCGTGTCACTACAACCACCGCCCGTGTCACTATAGCCACCCCGTGTGTCACTGTAGCCACCGCTTGTGTCACTGTACCCACCGCCCGTGACACTGTATCCACCGCCCGTGTCATTTTAACCACCGCCCGTGTCATTTTAACCACCGCCCGTGTCATTTTAACCACCGCTCGTGTCACTTTAGCCACCGCTTTGGTCACAGTGACTCCGGTCAGTCACTCCGGCACTGCAAGTGGTCACACAACTCCCCACAGCCAGTGGTCACCGCACCATGACCACCGCACCACCGTCACACCACCACCGGCAGTGTCCCCACCCTCGCACCTATCGCACCACCCCAACCCTACCTTTACAACCCCATACCCGTGGCATCACCCCAATGGCGTAGCTCCGCCGTGCCATTAAAATACCCTAGCTCCGCTGCGCCGCACCATAAACGAACCTTAGCCCCTGGTTACAACCCCCTTTCATGTTCTCCGCCCGCAGCCGCCATCAAAATCAGCTAAATCGCACAGAAAATGAAGAAGGAGAAGATTAAAGCGCGCAGGGACTGCGATTGAAACGCGCAGGTGGCCGCGATTGAAGCAGGGTAGTGGCGGTGGCTCTCATAGAGACGGCGGTGATGGCGGCGGATCTTCAGTGTTTGCGGTGGCGGTGGATCTTCAGTGGTGGCGGTGGCGGTGGCGGTGGTGGATCTTCAGTGGTGGTGGTGGCGGTGATGGATCTTCAGTGGTGGCGACAGATCTTCAGTGGCGGCGACATAGCTGAACTCCACGACAGTTGCAAATGCTTCATGTTTGGAAATGCTAATTTAGGGTTGGGATAAATTTGGGCTTTAGATCTTACGAGATGCGGAAGTTCTAAAGTTACTTTTCTGTCAAAATGAGTTTTAGTCACATTTTTGTCAAGTAAAAGCCTAATAATATTACTTTTGCCATTCTTTCTTTGAGTCAATTTTGAGAAGAATTTTATTATATTGAAATAAAGAAAAAAATTGGAAGGGAAAGTCCAAGAGCAGGGAGCAAGATCGAGCAAGCAAGGTGCGGAGAGTTCGATGGGAGCTTTGATAATTAGACTGAAACTTGTAAAGAATTGCAAAAATACCGGGTGTATAGGTACACCCGGCAACCCAGGTGTATCTTATAATTTCCGGTTAACTGAAAAGAGCTGTGCTAGGTGTACAAATTCTGGTGTACACATTTCGTACACTCGTCTGTCTCACGCACACAAAATTATTTGTCAACAGACAATTCTCTAGAGTTGTCTGTGGACAGACAATTATGTATGCGTGAAAGAGACGATTATACGAAAGGTGTACATCAAAATGCGTACAACAAAATGTGTACACCAAACATTTATTACTGAGTTGGCTAAAATGCTCGATTGAGTTGTTTTTAAGAGTGGAGTTGTCATACTCCGTATATCTTTAGCATCTCAATTAGAAAAGGGTATACAGTTATGGTTCCCATCCAAATTCGTTTCTCGTCTGGAGCGCGCCTTCGCATCAGCATCCAACAAAACCCAAATTAGTCTCATCTTCTTGATTAGTGCTAATTACTGAGTAATAGTAATCATCATAAATAATTATACTTAATGATTCATCTCTATCTGTCTCCTCTGCGGCTTGCCGAATTATTCAGCTACTGCTTCCCTGGGTTCTCCACGCAATCTCTCGCCATCACTCATCCGCTTGTTTATACTTCCAAGTAAGTACTCTCTCATTCTCTGGTTCTGTCTTCCCCTGCGTCTCGTTCGATTCAGTTCAAGATCCTCTTTTGCATATTCAACCTTGATCTGTGTCATCGAGCCTCTTTTTATGGATCTGTTCTCCGGTTATTTGTGCGGAGTAGTGAGTTTAGTGTACTCGAGCTCATTCGTTATATGTATTCATGTTATGTTGTGGATTAGATCTTGACTAAGTGATCTGAAATAATCTGCTCTCTTCTTGTGGTTAACTTCCAGGGATATGTAATTCTCAAAATTACATTGCCAGGGATCAAAGATAATGCTCATCAGATTAGCTCGTTGGTTCGTTTGGTATAAGGGAATTTAGAGAACCCAGAATTCGATCCATACATGTTGTATTGGTCAGAAGTAGTATTAACTCAGAAATGGATTTGCACGGAAATCCACAGGGAGAGCATGGGAGGTTTGAGCAGATTCTCTCTCAGTTTCTTCTAAAAAGTTTGCATATAGTATTGGATTCGAGGGTTCCTTCAACCAGAAACCAAGCGCGGATAGGAGAAGTTAAAAAAAGTGACAAATGGTTCAATTTGGTGTTAGGAGATCGTCCTTCTGTTCTTGATAATTTGAATTTTTGGCATAGAAATTTGATGGAACCTATGAATATTGATATTGTTCTTGTTCAAGACAAGTCAGGGTCTGGTTTATCATCAACTGTTATAGAGAGGTGGATTGTTCAATATGAGAGTAAAAGGACTTCGTCCTCTCAAGTTGGGGATTCTTCTTCTTCTTACAAGAAAACATACAAGAAGCTAATTATACTTTTGCGGTCCCTTTATTCAATTACAAAGCTCCTTCCAGCTTATAAGGCCTTCAGGAAACTAAGTTCTTCTCAGAGTTGTGATTTTGAGCTTAATTACAAAGTCTCTTCATTTAGTGCTCCCTTTTCTAGAACAGAAGAGCAGTTGATGAAACATTATTCTTTCATTCCAGTTGATGATCAAAACGGCTGTTTTTGTTTATCCGTGACGTATCATGAAAATCTTCTCTCTGAGTTTAATCTGGAAACTTCTGCTTGTTTTCCTCCTGAGATCATCTCAGATTATGTCGGTAGTCCTCTTGCTGATCCTATGAGGTCATTTCCTTCCATGTCACTGGATAAGGGCGTCCTCCCTACATCGTACCCCTTAAGAAGGACACAGTCATCCACTCCGGGACCATTTCACCGGCCCCATAGTTGGACGAGTGGAGTCCACAGGGGGATTTCCTTAGCTCAGAATGACCGGCTTCGTTGGACGGCTGGGGTCCACAATGGGATTTCCTTAGCTCAGAATGAACGTTTTTTAGGATCTCCATCTCCACCCTTTTCACCACCTGCATACATCTCAGAAAGTTCCCCGGTCAATATCCCACACTCAATGAATATCAGAAATTCCAGATACACTTCTCATAATTTTTCTGACCCCAACAGGATTTTACTCCCACCTCAATCCCCTCGAAGCACGAAGCATGAATCCTTGTCTCATGAATACCCTTCTGGAATTAGGACATTGAAGAAACCAGATGCAGCAAGGGCAGGGGAGACAATGTTCGGTAGTGCGAATCTGAGCCCGAAGGTATTAATTTTGGACCCACTTGTATACTTTCCCACATTAAGAGCCAGTTTTGGATAGCTTATGGTATAAGTGGTTTCTCATTCAAGAACTTGAAGTTTTGTTGTTGTTGAAAGAGTACCAATCTGATGTATCTTAAATAAGCAATAAAATGTTTCTTAATGTTAAAAGAATTCAGAGTAAAATGTCTCATTCTCCATTTTCCTGTCAAATGCTTCTTTTAAAGTTAAATAATTTTATCTCTCTCAGTAACACTTAATCTTTGAAAATAAAACATACTACGTATCAAACACACTCTAGTACAATGCATGGTATAAATTGTCATTAGAAACCTCCGTGGTCAGATTTCAAGAGATGTCAAAGATGATTCCGGACGTTTTTCTTCAAGTGATTCGCCACGTATAGGATTCTCAAGAAGTTCTAGTAGAGTATCAGTCCAGGGGGACTTGGATGACCCTGACTTTGCTTGCCCATTTGTTGTTGATGATGTTGATAGTTCAAGTTCCCTACCCAGGTATTTTTTGCTTTAATTATTTGAATACACACACAGACACACACACACACTCACATGGTGTTATTCCCTTCCTCACTGCGGAGTGTAATCTCTTAGGAAATTTTGAGGCCCTTTTTATAACACCAAAAATTTTGATGTATGCGAATTATTTAGCCACCAGCTTGTTCCTAGGAAGTTATTGTAATTTCAGTCCCTCTTCCCAAACATTATCTTTTGCAAATGAACTAAAAAATGGTTGTTAAGTTTGTTGCTACAACTAATTTTATATGGGCTGTATTGGCGGGGAGGAGGTAGTATAAAACTGTAGTTTTTATAGAACTCTAAAAGACATTGTAAAAACACCAGAATTATGTGTTAAAAAATAATGAGGAGTTTTATTTATAATAATTTTCAAATTTGTAGTTATGTCTCATGCACTGAAAATAGTAGCATACATTGTCATATGTGTTTTCTTGTTTATGTTTTTCAATAGCTTAGCGTTTGTTGACCAATGAAATTCACTTATTACGGATCTGTAGCTTTTTATGACAAATTAATGAAAAAATGATGCTTTTGGTAGATATAAAAAACATATACTCCCTCCGTCCCACTAAGGTTGTCCCATTTTACCTTTTCGGGAAATCTCACTAAGATTGTCCTATACCAAATTTGGTAAAGTTTATGTGGCTCTAAATAATTCTTACTTTATTCTTACTTTATTCTTACTTTATCAATTCAATATCAACCACATAAACCCAATTTTCTTAATAACCGTGCCACCACGTCTTGTCCCAATGTTAGTGGGACAGAGGTAGTATCAATTTCTAGTTTCTGTATGTTTATATATTACACGTAATGCAGTCAAAACCTAGACAAGAAGGCCGTGGGTTCAGAATCGCCTTCACAGACATTTTTTGGAACCAGAAAAGCACAAGACTCTGCTGTTGGTGCCCTTGTCCAGATGCTGAAGACAGCTCCCCCACTACGCCAAGATTCTAGCTGCTATTCCACCACTTCTTCTGTAAAACCTGATCTTGAAGGAGAAGGAATAACTGATTCTTTTGACCTTTCTGCCCCTCGAAAGATCTCAGATGCATTGGAGGAGCTTAAAGCATACAAAGAACTCAAAGACGTTCTGCTCTCCAAGAGCGCACTCCGCAATTCAGAATCCTAACCCGCTTAGTTTATCCCATTTGGCCATGTAAACTGCTCTCCCATTTGACTTGTACTGTAACAACTGCATATAGATTAACCAAATTGTGTACATAGTTGGAAATGAAAAGTCATTAGGGAAGGTTGGTGGCCTGTAACTCTGCAGGTGTTAATGCGTATTGAATTGGAATACTTGGACGTGTTTATGCATTTGTACTTCTAATGTTTGTTATATACAAGATTAAGTGCAGCAGGCAAGTGAGTGTATGAACCAAAACTGCCTCTGACCATAAGGGCATAGGCTTCCGTCTTTTATTATGCCTCCACTAACCTATAGTGGCTTATCTAATTGTCTTTAACCAAACTAATGGAGAAATCAATACTCAGTGAGGGTTTTTTCTCAAAAATCATTACTAATACATTTTCATCACTGCTCATCAGTACAATATAATAGGTAGTATTGCTGTGACCAATACAATTACTGCAATAATACTATACTCCGCAGTTATTGTCTATAATTATGCATTATTTCTATTCGTTTTAAAACACACTCCTTATTAGATTATAAATTTGGGAAAAGACAATGTCTCATACTCTCTCATCTCATTATTTCATCTGGCATTCTGGGCCCCAATATGAAGGAATCTCATTTGGTGGGCACCCAACAACATTCTAAGTGTATCTAAACCAGTGACATTATCACAAGTTCCCAATCCAAACAAAAGCAATGCAGTGTTCCTCATCTCCTTTGCTGCGCGATTCCATTCAATCCAAATAATCTCATTTTTTTTATTCTTTGGTGCAAACACTTCTGTTATATGGAGTAAAATTCAAAGTCAAAAGGAACAACACTAACTGCTTGGGTTGGGCTCATTCCGGTTTTGCGGGTTACCCAATTCTCAAATTCTATGTACTCTTTTAAAAAACTTGTAGTGCCAGTGAATAAATAGACTTTGTTTTATTGAAATTTGGTGTGCCGTATACTGGGTTTAGCCGTACTGGCTGCTAGGACACAGGTTGATCAATGCAGTGCGTAGTCCATTCCATTAAATCTACTGCGATTCTACTTACTTCACCAACATTTTTCACTACGCATACGGCATATCAGATAATAAAATGCATTATGTTGTAGATCTCAAACCACATTTAACTGATGCTAATCATAGCTCCTTGAAGTTAGAACTTAGCTGTATTGTTAAGCTTCAAAGAGAAAAGAATATTCTTGATTAGTTATAAATTAATTGAATTATTAGAAAAACTATTCTACATGTCTAGCATTGCAACAAATAATTTATCAAATTACCCTATTTTTTTGAGACCATCAAATTACCCTATTAATCATTAAAAATGATTGCTTTTAGAAAATAGCATTATTTCCCTCATCTTTAATTTTTAAGAAAGCCTTAAGCCACTCAGGGCTATGTTACGCATTTGTATAAAACAGTCTGGTATTTAAAATAAGAAATAAAACCTGTTACAAAAGATTTAAAGCAAGCAATTGTAGCCTCCCTTGTGGATGTGTTTTGTTTTCCTCTGCAGTGTTAATATGTTGTAATTATGAGGACTACCCCAAAGCATAATCCTACCCAACTATTGTCACCGCAAGATGCTACAAGCCTACAAGCCATAAAAGGTCAACAATCCAGAAGAAAGTTACAAAGATGTCATACAAACAACATCCATGCCTACTATGATGAATACATATTTCAAGTAAACTTATCTCAATAAATACACTTATATCATTTCTAGTCTACTACAAGAAATGAGATGATATATTTTTTGTAATAAACATTTGTGGGATTCTATGGTTGTTTCTCATCCATTAAATAACACTTATCAAAATGACTTGGACTCCCTCCATGATACTGAACCCTGAACAACTAAATTTGTGGTCGGAAAAAAGAACACAAAACCATACAGATGTCAAAAGAACAACAATGATATGGCCCTGATTTATCCCACAAATTTAGATGCCAGAAAACTCTTGCTCATTAAAACAGTCATAATTTAGTCTGAACAGTTTTTTTACAACTTCATCAAAAGGAAACCATTGTCTGGGGTAGTCACAAATCAGCAGTAGCAGGAAATTGCACGATGACATCATCACCCGGGTTTACATATCCTTGGAACCATAACTACGTTCCCACTTACAATGTCTTACCATCAGATTCTGGATTTAAATCTTGCTTGCTTTTGCTACTCCTCATCTTTGTCTTGACCCTGTATTTTGTGACAAGGGCTTCCATTGTGTTAATGAAGTTCCCAACTGCCATAACTATTAGGAGGATCCCACATGTAACAACCTGACACCAGATAATACAACATTTCATATCATTAAAGTTCCAGATTTGCACAAGGGTTGCAAAGTAAACCCCATTCAGGTAAGCCCTGAGCCCGCCCATGTTTATAGAATTTGGGCAGATTCAAAATTTAAATAGAGCACCATTTTGGCTGCTGAGATTTTAGCCACCGAATATATGTGCATTTATTAGCTTGCTCGTGGCTCATAAGTGTAGCTAAAGTTTGAGTAATACTAGGTGTAAATTTTGTTGAACACCTAAGATGGGGTTTTAAGAGTAAAATTTACTTCGAAATGTCATCCTAGGTGAATCACCCCACACAATTAAGACTGCTTTATACATATCTATCACAAAGAAGACTAAATATGGCACAATAAGCTAAATCGATTTCTTTTACCTGCCACTCAGAAACAACACCTGTGACAGCAGTTTTGAGCAACAAGACCCCAACATACGCTTCAAACCCCTGCATAAAGAGAAATTATATCAATGAACAACAAATATAACCTCATTTCTCATTCACCTCTGTGTGTGAGCAATGAAAGTGGGTTCCACAGAAAGTGTTAACGCATTAGTTTCTGAAGCTTTGATCGTGAATAAACGCTTCTAGAACTAGAGCATAGATTTGTTATTGAAAGACGAGATGAAAACAAATTACCTGAAACCTGGAGAACCAAATAAGTACAGATCACATGAAACACTTATGAAATTGAAATACAGAAAGAGAAATTGAGGCACAACGAGAAGTTGAGAACCAATGTGTAGGTGCACATGCTAATGAGCTTGACTAATTACCATTACGAACATCAATATCATTTTGAAAGATTATAAAGGGTGTTTTAGATAGCAACTCAAAATAGCTTTTTGGTTTTAAAAACGTAATGGTGTCGAGACAGTGTTTTATTTAAGTTTGAGACATTGTTTTATTTGAGTTTCGATAGTTCTGTGTTCCTAAATTAGATAACATGAGTGATACACATTGATACCATTTGATTCACAAACAAAGAAATATTCTCTATTCTTCTGTTTTAATTTACTGAATGTCAGCTCTTTACTGAAGCTTTATAACTTGGAAGCTGTTTCTGGCTGGATAAAAATGAGCAGAGAAGTATTGATCAAATTTGAGTTAGACTGACTGTATCTTTATATATAAGTAGGATAGTGTCCTAGAGTATGTCAATAAGAAAAACGGCATAAGTAACTTAACAATAATAAATTTAGAACAGAAACTCAGATACTCTGGCCTAGAAAAATGATATACCTGCAAAATAAATAGTATGGGAAATAACAGCAGCAACTGACCATTGACCCCAGCCGTTTCTCCCCAAACAACATCCATTCTCCTGGCCTAAAAAAGAAAATCTGATTGGCACATATTGACTAGATTGCAACGACCTCATATTAAGTATGAAAAAACAAAGCAGATTCAAAATTTATGTGACTGAAAGCTTATTGAAAAGCCGGCAATTGGATATGAATGAATGAACTTTCAAAATATCTAGAAAATGGAAAGAAAATTATAAGGAGATATATGTAGTAGCACATGACCAAAGATATACAAAAAAAACTACCACATGTTGGTACAAATAAGGGTAGCAATAGCATACACACCCACCACGACGTTTTCCTACAGAGCAGTCGCAGTATGTCTATTGTGAAAGTGCGAAACCAAACACCACGAGGGTAACCATAGTAATAATCCTCTGTAGTTGTAAGATTTTATCCTTTAGTTTTTAAATTTCATCTTAACATTATGTATTTCCATGATTTGCAATGGAGCCAAAGACACTATTTTTTAGTTTGGGAATATGATGGAATAAAGCAAAATGATTCACTAAATTGTTATGAAGCAGCAGTCAGTCCATGCAATATTCGATGCGATTTTCACTATGGGTCATCCGGAAACCGTCTCTCTGTGCTTTAGTGCAGGGGTAAGACTGCGTACATCGGACCCCCCTTACCCCACCATAGGTGGGAGCCTTTGCGGCATTGGGGTAATGATGATGATGATCTTAACATTATGTACTTGTAAACCAATCTTTTGTCAATAACTTGTTTATAATTACACAGTTAAGACTTAAGAGCATGAAAACGATCATCAGAAATAAGAGTTATTTGTAAAGCTGCGGCAATACAATACCTTTCCGAGAGCAATTCGTGTGTACAATCTTTGCCGCTGATATCTATTTTGAAGAAGCATTGCAACACCTTGCATAATTGCCCATTGCAGAAAAAGTTGTACTCCTCTCTGCAATAAATGTTCAGTTATGCATGAAAGTGAGAGAGAGAGAGATTGAGAAAGTGATGTCAGGGGAAATCAGTACGTAACACGTTGACATGTCGTATATACTGTATATAAAAACCTGTTTCTGTGAACAGTTCGGTTCCCTTTCTATTTCCCAAGTAAGACTGATAAGTGCCATGGCCATAGCAAAATAATGGTGCCGTATCCACCTGCAAAAGAACAGTTAGTGTTTTTCTCTAATTCACACCTTAATCAGCAATGCATCCAAGCCTTAGTCCCAAAAGATTTTGGGGTCGGCTAACATGATATCGGAGCCAAAAGGAAAACAAAGATAAGAAATATAAAAAGATAAGCTATGTTAAAAAAAGATTAAAAAAAGATAAGATAAAGATAAAGATAATTATAAGATAACAATAAAAATGATAAGATAAAAAGGATAAAAATACATACAGAGTATATAAATTAAAAAAGATAAAGAGCATGAGAAAGATAAAGAAGATAAAAGGATAAGAAAGATGATAAGAGTCTCTTATTAAGAGATCAATCCTCCAGTCAAATATTTGCCCTCCACTTTGTTCCCTCCGAAGTCATACCCTCATCGAACCCAAGAAGAAGCATATCACTCCTGACTCCTCTAATCCACGTTTGTTTGGGTCTTCCTCTTCTCTCCTCCCCACCTCTTCTCCACACTCTCAACTCGTCTAATTGGTGAATTTTCAATTTAAAAAATCATTACACGTTTACTTTTACATCTCTTTGTTGTTATCCGATAATTTTTGGAGGGAACTAAGTGTCAGAGGTGCTACAACAGGCTA